ACCATTGGGTGGCATTAGCAATTCTTATAATGGTATTACCATACCATACATGCCTATGTAGAAAAGTGGCCCATCTATTATTCATAGAAGCGAAGGATGTTAAGCAGACATTAGCTGAGCATGAAGTTCTGATTTCATAATTTAAACTCCATTGGTGCCGTTAGGAATTCTCAGCTGCTAATGAAAAAGTCCTGCAAAACATTAATGAGGTACCCGAGGATTTAAGAGACAGAAAAAAGGAAGACAGACAATAGTCCACGCCCCATTTTTTGGCAGCTGTTTACTTATTTAGTCACATTTCTGATGCTAACCAGGACATTGGACAGAAAAATGTGCCCACTAAACAAGAAACATGAAGCTGAAGTCGGTGCCATAGCCAGCCTTTGGATGCTTGTTTTCACAGAAGGGAGCTCAACTAGAATATCATGAGATTCTCATAACTTGAAAGCAAGTTTCTAACACTAGGCTATAAAAAAGGATGGATTGGAAGTATCTATGAAGACACTTTCCAAAGAACCAAGCAACAACCAAAAATGGTCTCAAGCAAGTTTAGTCACAATGGGATGGAGCTCTCAAGTTTCCCCATTCTTCTGCTCATCTGTAAACATAAGGAACTGGTGCAAGAGGAAGGATTATTTCCCCGGCAGGATTATTTCCCAAGGGCTCATCCAGGCAGCACCTTTATCCCAGGAGCTCCCACAGCAAACAGGATGGTGGCCAAACGCCAGCCCCTGTAAACATGGAAGCAATTGCTAGGTAAAGGTAAAGATTAAATAAAAAGCATAGTCTGTTATAAAAGACATAACACAAAACATCATGGCAAAGTAACAAGTGTGGCCACAAGTACACAACCAAAAGTACACAACCAAATCTGTCTGCACAGATGGCCAGGCAGGCTCTAAAAACTGTCAATAATGACCAAATTCTGGTCCTGGCTTGAAAGTGTTCCTGGAAGAAATCCAGGGACCAAGGGGTCTCTATCTGGACATCCAAAATCCCAGGGGTTTTTTGCCCCTAACTAAAGTGTGCAATTTGGTGATGTCTGGAACTGTCAAAAGATGGCTCTTAATTGATTAACTATGTTAAGCAAATGGGCAAATAAGAGGCTGTGCATAGTGCATAGTGCCATTTCTAGTACAGGTGCATAGTGACATCTCTATACATTGTTCTTATTCTGACTAATGGTATTATCTTCCCCTGACCCACTAAACTTTGCAACATCCCTGTTTGTGTAATGATAACTCCGTCTTACCTGTGCATCTCTCTCAGCGCATAGCATTCCTTTCCACCTTGGAACAATGAGGCAGTTTGGGTGATGAATCAGATAGCTGCCTGCCCTGCACACAACGTTGTCCATCCATCCGGTCACGGAACTATCCAAATCGTGGACAATTGAGACTTTGTCACCATCATCATTATTATTCTCTCCAAACCACTGGCCTTGTTCGCCCAGGAACACCTTGAGGCCAACCTTCAGAGAAAGAAAGATAGAGCAAAGAATAGAAACACCGTCATTATTAGGAAAGCAATTGTATTACCGATACAGCTCATTGCAATTCAGTGCTCAGCTGCAAATTCCAGTTTTTCAAAAAAAAAAATAAAGTCTGGTTAACACAGGACCCTAAAGTAGAAATCCCAACCCCAAGTACAGAAATCCCAGTCCCCCATTACAAAGGGTGTATTTTTAAACAGCTATATGACAATGCGTTCTCAAAGGCTTTCAACAGATACGAATCAAAGAACATGAAAGGCACTGCAGACTAATTCAACCAGAGAGGTCAGCTATAGCAGAGCACTTGATGCGCCAACCTGGACACAGAATGTTATTTGAGAGTCACATGCAACTCCCAGAACGGTTCCATC